CCTCATAGTTGGTTTGGAATCCAAGATTTTAGCCAACTCCCCTAGGTGAACTACCAGTAGTCCACCAAACCGGTTATAGCCCCGGACATCAGCCATAATCCTTATTTTCGTGCAAAAACACCTCTGCCACGAGAAGGCAATGATTAGGGCTTCCTCAGGAGAGGCTATTTGAGACGCTTGTGCGTATGTGAGCATTTCGCGAGGTACAAGGGAGGGGTGACCCGCCGCAACCCTAGACACCCAGCCCCGACCATACTGAGGCTTTTGGAGGCATCCAAATACAATGGGGACATACAGGATGTCAATCCGAGTTTAATTGGAGCCCGTAGAAAACCCTGATCACTAGCTAATCCAGTGAACTGTCACTAACCAAACTGTCAAATTGAGTTGTACGCAAAGTCGACCGAATGGAATTTGAGGTATATGATAAATGTGAACAGTTGAACTCAGAGTATGGACATTTGGAGAGCTGAACATTTACCCCGTGTTTTAAAAGAATCCCAAATGATCGAAACACCATGTAAAATTTTAGTTTTGACATCTTTATTTCAACTTGTGAGTCGCTGTATTTTTGTATTTGTGTCTATTTTATTCGACTCTGTCACAACGCCGGCATTCCCTCCCCCTTCCCGCTTGTATCGCAGACACGCACACACACACACACACGCGCGCACACACATATACACGCGCGCGCGCGCACACACACACACGCGCGCACACACATATACACGCGCGCGCGCGCGCACACACACACACAAGCACACGCAGTATGGGCCACACAATGTTGCATACACGTTGACTAAATCAATCTCTCCTTCAATACTGCATGTGTAATCGGACTTAAGAAGTAACTAAAATTGGTTTGTTTGTTTGTCTGTACATCAACAAAATGCAAACAAAATGGTAAGTACATATTATCAGCCACTAGGATTTTATCCCAATGCAGCCCTGGTTTTATCAACAAACTTATCACAGTTCAGTAAACGTTTTAATAAATGAATATCCAGATTACTGTATCAAGAAAAGCATAACTCAATGGTTGAAGGAAAGCTGTTCTCAAAGCAATGCTTTTCGAAGACATTGAGCAAGTGAATCGTGATTCTTGACAGTCTTGAGTTTTCTGCTCTTCCAAATCAGTTTTCCCATTTCTGAAAGAAGAGCTACCTACTTATGCGGATAGTCTCTTCCGCGGTCCCCTCGCTGGTGAGGTGCAATTTACGTTGATCACATCAGTAAGCGCCTGGTCGATCGGATGGGAAAACACCACGCCTTTGGGTCTGAGTCGAGAACCGAGAGTGAATGGTGTGAACAAGATTGTCATGCGCTTGCCCGGGACGAGTAACACTGTTGAGATACAAGGTCCGTGCTGTCCCATCTGCTCAATCACGGACGTCCGGTCCAGATGTGTCCAAACTCGATTGTTGCATGTGAAGGAAGTGCTGACAATTGTTGTATATGCGAAAACGGTTCCCAACAACTCTGGCCACTTGTACTCAGTGTTAACGGTTAATGCGCCAATTAAAACTATGTACTGAGAAAACAAATATTAGCAATTGTGCAACGGTTGTTTGAACATCCCATTTTCCTAACTACTTTCTGAAAGCTCGCTGTCCGAATCAGACTATGAATTAGACTTCTTACCTCCGTACATTGTTCCCGGAGATAGATGAAGCACTTATTTTGACAATAAGTTCTTCAAAAAACCATCGAGTTTACTCACTTACTCAGACAAAAGCGTCTAATTGTACTGAAGGAACTAACTTCTGGTGGGTACCAGAGGGATGAATCATCTGTTCTGTTGGCATTTTTGCCTTCGCACAGAGTGTTTTGGCACGGCGAATCCTGTTTCAGCCGGACAAAACAATTTTGTAAGTTTTGATCATTAGTGAGTGCAACATTACTCCACGGAAATAGGAAATAGACGTTGAGTTAATTGTGCCCTGCAAACAGGCTGGTTTGAAAGCAAAATTCGAAGTTTGATTGAACGCAGTCTTGTGATCATCGTGAAGAAAGCTTAGGAACATCGTTCGGTATCTCATTTGAAATTCCTGGTTCGAATATTTTGTTTCCTACGTCGGAAACCATCTCAATTCCTGAAAACTCACTCCTTCTATAAGCTTTTTGGTTCACCAAACTGATCTGCTATTAGGCCGGTGATATAAGTTCGCATTGGGGACAAGGAAAAACGAATATGGATGTATGAATAAAAATTTATGATACATGTTATCACTTCACAACACAATCACGTGGATGCCACTTATGATTTACACATATTTATGCATCTAAGCTTCTATCAATCTGAAAATAAAATGTGGTGGTTATGGGAATCAAGCGGAAGTACATCCAATATGATTTGTGTAATGGCATTGCTTATGCAAACATAGGTTATCGGAGGAAATGTATCGGTCGATGGAATACATGGTGACCGGTTCTCGTCAAGTTCGACAATTGCTTACACCATCGATGTGTTCGAACAGTGTCGTAACAACCGGACAAATTTGGCCCCGACTCCATGCATCACGAATGCTTGAATAAACAGTATGAGTGCTGCAAGCAAGTCATTGGATCCGCCAAAAGCGAAGCATTCAAAATAATTGTTATTTATTTCTTTGATCGCCCCTGGAAAGTGGAAAATGGATTTAAGATCACTAGGCTAATTAACATATCAAATATTCATTCTGCATTGATAATGAGGTCTTCATAATCGAAATACGGAGCTGCATCACTTACTGTATTGTTTTGTATTGTATAACCTTTGCAGGCAGTAAAACTTCAATTTTAATTTTTAAAAAAACTGTAAATGCCAAAAATAATCATTTTTGTGTCCTGAATGAGTGCATATCCTGGGTAAGCTAACCTCAACCGCGAGACAGCTAATTACATTGTATCACTTTCCCTGTGCACTACATAGCACAGCTCAACCCTAGACACCCACCCCCGACCATAGACAGTTACAAATAACATCACACTGATAATTTAGCTGCAGCGTAGGAAAACAATGCAAAAAATAAACAAAAGGTTCGTTCAACGGAGGAGGACTAAAGCATTTTTCGCAACTTACAGCCACCAAACGAAGTTGGGTGTTCTGTACTACATGAGAAGGAAAGCTTGTCAAATATGATTTACATCTTTTGCAGTGACAGTTACCCGAATATAATTTCAAGATATCTGGGTATCATCTCATGTTGTCCGAGTATCACCTCAAAAATATTGATCATCAATTCAGTGTTGGTTTGTTTCGGTAAATGTGTAACCAGTCCTACATCACTTGCCAAATTAGGTTTATCCGAATGTGTTGTAGAATCTCTTCCGGATGAGTTCGTTCAAGATAAAATCGGTACCCTATACAGTTTCATTTCACCAGGCGATTTACCTGATCACAAACGCTGCCGAGAACAAAATTCAGCTTTTATCGGGAGAAGTGTGAAATGAAATCGTGATCACAACTCACAAACCCAGTCACCCTAAGTCTCTCATTCTTGAATCGTTTTGGCCTTTGGCCAAAGGGAGCTGACCGTTTTGCTTGCATGTTTTACACTAAAAGCGGCCATTTTTGTTTTAGTGGATCAATAGGCTGGAATTCTTTGCATTTGTTTGATAGCTGATATTTCTAGGTGTTCGGCCGGATCAAATACGCTTTGTCATCGTCCATTACGTCCATCCTGCGACTTGATTTTCACGGTGAGTGAAGGGCAAAATAAAACGGTTGATTTTTCTCACCGTATGCACAGACAATGCAAGATGGGGTAAATGAGTTTGTGATTTGTTCTCCTTGCTTCTCCGTATGACTCAGTTTTATCCGAGTAAAGTGCGACTGACCGTAGCGCAATTTTCTGTTGAGTTTTGTGTTTCCGACCTAGTGAATCACCTGATACATCATCTGGCCAACCCAAGGAATGTTTTTGATGTGCATCGTGTTCCCCCAGCCAACCCAGCGTTATCCCAATGTGGCACTTGTTCTGAATGAGAATGCGTCTTGCCGCCATGACTGCGTTGGGAATGATATCGCACTAGACCAAACGTGGAGCTTTTCGATTGGAATCCGATTGGGGCTGGATTTCATTGAAAGTGAATGTAATTGGGCAAAGCTGATGAGGATGCCACCATACTCACCAATGTTGTCAGTTATGAAAGTGATGTCGTCGATCTCTGATGCTCGTTTTGCTATATTTATATGACATTCGCAGACGATTTACATGCCTGTCTTGGTGAAATGGCGTCTTTTTCCGTAACAGGAATTAAGGTAGTGGAGAGAAACGTTTGTATTGCCCTTAGGTACTAAATGATACTGTTTTTGAATTCCTATCACTACCTGTTATTCCATACTTACTTGTTCGAAGCCAATATTTAGTGATCCTTGGCGCATTTTATACCTTAGACCTAATCCACTTGGATTGTAATGTGCAATGTAAAAGTATCGCATATAAAATAGGTAACATTCCAAGACGGCCCACAAACCCAAAGTGATTCGAAGTATCTCCACTTCATGAACGAATACCGAAATAAGTCACAATATCAAGACAACAAACTGAGAAATCAATCTTTGCTTGCCCCGAAAAAAGTAGTTTTGGACGTTTTCTGTTCGAGCGAATGTGAATGGTTTCACAGGTAATCACCGTCAACGGCAGGTATGTAAAATGTCTGCGAATGTCACACAAATATAGCAAAATGAGCATCAGAGATCGACGACATCACTTTCATAACTGGCAACATTGGTGAGTATGGTGGCATCCTCACCAGCTTTGCCCAATTATATTCCCCCCTAATGTATACCTTCTCCAGTCTGTTGTGGCAAGGAGTATTTTCATGCCGCAGTGATTTGTCTAATGGATACTATTTGTCTGAGCTAACCCAGCCCCAATCAGATTCCCATCGTTTGGTCTAGCGCGATATCATTCACAAAGCAATCATGGCACCGATTGGATGCAAATTGATCCCAGGACCGACGCACACTACCAGAAATGAATGTGTACATTTGGCAGACAAACCCATTGTCCTGGTTCAAAACCGAATGAAATTTGTTCCGTCAATTTAACGTGCACAACTCCACCGTAATTATGCTTCAAACATATGAAGTTTGAATAGCTAGCGGATCGCCTTCGTCTCCTGATTATGAAATGAGACGAACCTTCTTGCATGTAATCAGCCGGCCAATCTAAATAATTACTAACTGCCATAGGTGACACTCCTTCCTCAAACTTCTCTTTAATTCGGATTCTCAACACATCCAATTTGACTGTGGAGTCTTCTTTCGACAAGGTGCTCATTTCGTCGATCTCCGTGTCATTCAAAGCCATGTTCTTTTATTAGCCTTTTGGTTGACAGTGTTATTGCTTTTGCTCGGCATTAATCCAGCCGTAAGGGGTGTTATAATTCAAACTATTGGGTATCGCAATCACACGCCTATCCTGCAACAAAGAACCAGCTTTTGAATATAATGCACATCTCTGTCATCATTCACCTGTTGAGAATCGCTCACGTTTAGCTTGTTCCACTGATGATAGTATTGTGCATGTGCTTTGATGGCTGAAAGTTTCAACTAACTTGACATAAGTTTCAAAATGTTCAGCTATTTGCGTAGCCAGTTAAGCTGAAAAGGGTGTTGTTACAATACTGTATCATTCTGACCCAAGTGGGTGCTTTCCGATTGTTTAGGAGGAGTGGTGAAGGACTGAATAACGAATGCTTCTGACTCATCGTTGAAGTTTCGTTTCTGTAAATAGAGACCTCACTTAGTTGATGGCTTCATGGTTTGCAAGCTTGTTTTACCCATTCAGACATTTATTGATCTGTAGGGTGACACGGGCTGAGTGATTAGTTGGCCGGGTAATAAGGCAGACAATTTATCTTGCGGGTTACAAGTTATAGTTCATGCTTTTGTTCCACCGAACGATCTGAGATAAGCGCGCACATTACAGCGATAAGGGCAAAGCAAAAGGGTTTACAGATAAAGAGAAAGAAGCGATTTGCACGCATTGAGTGAAGAGGTCATTCACCTACCTCCGATAGGTCCTCCGACCAGATAACCAAGCGCTTCGAATTGGAAGATAAATGCAATCGCCTCGTCATATCGGCTTGGGCCGACTATATCGTAGGCAAACGTTGGAGCAAATGCGAAGCTCGGACTGACCAATACACCGTAAGCGACTGCAAACACCGCCATTGGGATATAGGTGGGATAGAGTGGCATAATGACCATATAGACAGCTAAGCTAAGCAAACACGATGCCGTCAAACATCGCAGTTCCATTCCAGGTGAAAATTGTCCAATTATTCCGGTAGCCAAACGGCCAATCATATTAGCGATTCCAATAAATGACAGTAACCCGGCTGCAGCCTCCTGGTCAAAACCGGAATAGATGCCAAAGTTGCTCAAATGCGCAAATATTATCGAATCCGCGATAAACACGAGTAGTCGGGATAACAAAAATGTAAAGAACATCATGTTAGCGAGAAGAAATTGCTTCTTTTTTTCTTCATCCACAATCTCACCGGTAGACGTTATCACTGGGGCCTTTAATTCATCAAGATACTTTGTCTCCAGCACTTCCGCCGCCTCAAACGGAGTACTTATAGAGATAACCGAGGCGAAAATGTCACGAGCTGAAGACATTTTCGGCAGAGGTAGTTCTGAACTGCTTTGGATTAACACAGAGTCGAACGGACGAGTAGTTGAATCGCTACGTCTTACACGCCCAGTCCATATTGGTGGNTGGACGACCGTCTGTCGTCTGAGCACTATGAGATGTACTCAGATGGCGCATAATTCGAGATCGATCTTTTTCCAGTTTATTCCCTCTGTCCACATTTGTTTGATCTTTGATTTGTTGCGACCGGGTTTCATTTAACTCGGATGTCTCGTCCACTGTTTGGTCTGTTGGTTCAACTTCTTCAGGGATGACATAATTGTCTAGTGCGAGATTGCTCCACAAATAGCCATGATCACCAGAAGGTCCCACGGTTAGATTGGCATTGGGAGGATCTTCTGTATTTTGATCAACTAAAACCACCACCGGGCTTGAACAAACGGACTGTCCGCGCTTTTTCAACTCCTCACCAATAGTGGTCACCTTTTGTTGACCGCGATCAATCACAGCACGAATTGTTCGTCTTATTCGACGCCGATCTTGCAAAACCACCATGGACGATGTGAATGAATCACCAACGGGGATAGCCCTGCTCGGTGCACCTGACACTGTGGTCCAATCTGGTCGATCCGTGGATCCAGGCAAATCGAATCGACTATCGAGAAAGAATTTCAGTTGTGATCCGACAATTGGATCATGTGTATCCATTTGAATCACATCGAAGTCGGATACAATAAACAATACCGGGATCATCACTTGATCTGTTGTGGCATCTACTTCGGTGAATGCGTTTTGGGCCGCTTCTTCCAATTGTTTTAAAACTCGAACTCCGGGGTCGGGTAAAAACGTGAGTGAATCTAAGCGAACCAAGGTTTGCGTTCCGGTGGTGCATCGCGTTGCTTTGACGAACTCAATAACTACACGTAGATCCGAAGCAATGGTGTTCCGTTTCGATAAGTCAGTACGGGAACGGCCAAGCTGACCACGTCCCGCCGGTAAACCGGCTGCACTATTTACACTCATAATGGAGAGGAACAGATTTTGTCCTGACTCATTTTTCCCCTTGGACACGTCGATAGGCAAATCGGTTGTGGTCAAGTCCGGATGGTCCGTGATCAGCACAGTTGGCTCGGGAACTGATTCAGCCGGCAACGGTTTCAACAGAAGACCGACGGCAATCATATGTAGGTGTAGCAGACCAAATCCCATTAGAGCGATTCGCCATGTGTACACATCGATCATGTACGCTCCGATTTTGGAGTAGAAAAATGTACCAAGACCAGTCCCGCTACTGCAAAAGGCCAAAGCCACAATCCGATATCGATCGAAGTACTCTGCTGCAATGGCAATCGCCCGTACCACGCTTATTCCCATGCCAATACCTGTGAAAAAGGGAAGACCATAATGTGGAAGAAATGTACTCTGAAATGAAATATAGAAACTCTTTTATCACAGCAATCAGTAAGCTGGTGACAAAAAGGAATTCACGCGTAGTGTGATAACTGTGTCCTGTTACCAATTTCAGCGGAACGAAAAATTGACATGTAGGTTGTTGCTTTTTTTGTTCAGCAGAGCATGGCAATATACCCTGCTCGTAATCTACCAGAAAACCGCGAAATGATGATTTATTTGTATTTGTATAAACTTTTGCCAGAACAGAATGTTCGCATCTCAGCCAAAAATTTAGGCATCTCATCAATAGAAGGAAAGATAGAAGTAAAATATTTAGCTTTTAAGGTTACTGAGAAATTCTGAAGAAGCGCGCTCTCGGATTACAAGGATTCTTGCAAGATAGGAAACTGGGGAATTTCTGTAGAGACTAATGCGAGAGGGTAATAATCGATAAGAAGAACGTGTAGACGTATGAGAACAGCATTTAGATGAATAAATATAAAGGATGGTTGGGGTCAGCGAGGATTTTCTGGGCAAATGTNAGACACACGACTGATTATCGACAAACCGCGACGAAGAATTTTGAAGTCTTTCTTTAGTAGACCAGTAATATCACTGGGAAACAATAAAGAAGCACGGGGAAAACATTAATAAACAAGAGTGAAATGATTTTTTGCTTGGCATTGAACTGCCTAAGTCTTCGAAGTTGAAAAGATAATTTGCGAAGTTTCTGTAT